CGGAACGTCTCCGGCTCCTGGCGCGCCTCAGGCCACAGAACACGCGGCTGGGCGTGAGACTTCCGCATGAAGGCGTACACGGTATGGAACGCGCTCAAGGTCCCACGCGATAGCAAGCCTGCAAAGGTACAATGCCCCACCAGCACCTCTACCGCCCATCCAGCGAGGCGACGGCGGCGAAGCAAACCGTGGAGCGCCTGCCGAATCAGCCAGAAACGCTTCTGAGTGACCCTCGTCCTCCAGTGCGCTCCCGAGACCTCCGCGCCCAGCGCCTCGGCGTCGTTGCCCACCGAGTTGCCGTGCACGAGCAAGCCCTGCTGGTCGAAGCCCTCGACGAGCTGGGCAATCGCGTCGGAGACGAGGGGCTCATCGGTGGAGGCCACGCCTAGGTTGTCGACGTGCGCGTAGTGCGAGACGTGGCCCTCGGCCGCGGTCGGGCCGAAGACAGCTGGCCCCCCTCGGTCAGCCAGCGGGCTCTCGAGCAACTGAGGACAGATGGCACGCGCCTGGTGCTCGTTGATGCGCTGAGCCGCCCACGAGCCCCACGCGAAGCCCGTCGGGAAGACGGCCCAGCGAGGACTCGCCAGATCGTGCCTCTCCAGTGCCCTGCCTTCCCAGAGCTGGCGTTCGGCGCCGAGCAGGTGCGCAGGCGCCCCGGGAAGGCAGAAGTACTCAGAGAGCCATCCCGGGAGTCGCAACCCGTGGAAACAGTCCTTGGCGTCGGCGAGCCCCAAGTGCAGGGAGTAGCCACGCAGAAGCTGGCGGGCCCCCTCACTCCAAGGGCCCAAGTCTTCAGGAAGAGCGATCTCCACCCGGCTGAGGCCCTCGGCACTGAGGGGGGCCACGCCAGGCGGCGACTCGAAAAGCAGGTTCGCAGGCCTGGCGTCCAGGATGAGCCGCAGCCTTTGGCCGCCATCCTTCTCGACGAAGAAGAGGCCGACCTGGCAGCGAGGGCGCCTGGTCCAACCAATCAGGCCACGGCGATGCAGGTCGGCTATGAACTGCCTGTAGGTCTTGGCGCTGCGCTTCAGCGCGGGGTCGAAGTATGGTGTCACTGAGGGGGAGGGCTGTCGTGACCGCAGCACGCGCTCGGGGTGCTCCTTCAGGAAGCGCTGGGCCTCGGGCGGGGCCACGCCCTCGAACGGCGGGCAGCCCTCCACTGTCTCGGGCACGGACACGAGGCCCTTCTTGAAGGGCGCGACACGGGTGAGGCACTGAGGCACCACGCCCCATCGTACGGCGTGTGCCCTCGCAGCAGCCGGAGAACGGCTGCGCCTTCACTGGGGGCATCGAGACCCGGGCACCGCCTCGAGGCTGACTCACACATCCGCTCCAAAACTTCGAGCTGCATCGAGTCGGGCTCGAAATAGGACGAGCCACTTCGGAGGCCCGCCAGCCAGTTCAGAGCACCCACCGCCTCGTTACCCATCTTGAACACCAGCCGCTCTCGCCGCCGAAGGGCCAGGCCCCGTGTGGAGCCGGCCGCGGGCAGCTCAGGCAGGCGCCAGCGTGGCAGCGGGAACAGCTCCCTGGCTCGGCGCGAGGCGGCAAGCCGGCCGCGCGCCCCCCCAGAATCCCGGCCGGGGACGGGGTTCCCCCCGGCCGTGGGGGCAGTCATTGCCCCTTGGGGGGGTGGGGGGGTCGCCCCCCCCCCCCCCCGCCTCCCTTCGGTCCCTTCGGCGGCGGGCGCCCTGGTCGGCCCTTGCCGTCGTCCTGGGGGCCGTCGCCGTCCACGCGCTGGGGCCCCTTGCCGAACGCCAACACTACCTGGGCCTCCTGCTGCTTCCTTCTTGATCTTGCGGGTGGCGAACTGCTGCAGCCCCTGGCCCGCGATGTCGTCCGACGAGGCGGCGCCCGTACAGAGACGAGCGCGACCCCACGCAGGCTTGGCCGGGTCCGAATAGACCGCCACCAGCCCCGCGATCCTCCTCGCCGCCGTCTCCAAGCACATCAGGCCGCCTAAGTTCACCTGGTCGTACACGGCGGCCCAGAAGAGGATGTCACAGAGAACTCGCAGCTCGTGAGATACCCTGTCGTTGTCCCCGAGGCCTTTTGACCTCAGGAAGTCTCGCAACCAGGGCCTGGGGTCGCCGTTGGTACGCTCCATGTTCTTACACACCGTCAAAGCCGACGCGGGGCCCTCGATTGGCTGGTCTGGGAAGGCCTCTTGCGAGGACTCGCGGCATGCGGTCCTGAAGGGTTTGTACCTCTCCCCCTGCGCGTCGTAATCTACCTCCAAAACGCGGAAATCTCCACCGTCAGCCCCCGCGTCCCCGGGCGGCGGGGTAGCCGCGCCACTCACCCTCTCGGGGCGCGGCCCACCCCCAGCGCCCGCGGCTCGGCCCAGGCGCTCGCGAAGGTCGGCGGCTCCTGCAGGTCCTGGCCCGTCGCGCTCCGCCTCGGCGGCTGGGAAGTCGCTGAGGCCCATCTCCCTGCGCCGCCTCGCCGCATACCCTGGAAGATCCTCCGCCAGCAGCGCCTCCACACGGCGAGGGCCCTCCGCGAAGACGAACAGCCCCGCCAGCGCTGTCGCGGGAACGAACCGTGGGTCCGCCCGATCGACCATGGTGCCGACCGCTGCGCTCTCCGTGGGCTCGGCAACGACCCAGACGCGATCGTCCTCCAGCGGGGCGAGCGACTGCTTACCCCGCAGCCGCAGCGACGCTGGCCGCCTCGCCTCGCCGAAGAACGTGGTCCACTCCACCAGCGCATCGCCAGGGCCCGCGACCTCAGCCGGCGTCTCTGGCGCGATACCAGGGAGGCGCGCCTCCACCAACGCGCGTCCGCGCCTGATCGCCGCCCGCAGCTCTTCGGCCGTGAGGGCAGCCCGGAAGCGGTAGATCGGCCGTGGCCAACCCTCGGGCGCCCCGCCACCGATCGGCATCAGCGCCGCTCCCTCAGGCCCCGTCTGAGGATTGGCTCTCGTGAAGTCTTCCTCGTACTCATCCCCGTCGGGGGTCCGCGCCGCCCACGTCCCAGGCGGCAGGCTCGGGTAGAGCAGCACTCGCTCGTGGTCGACGGGGTCGTCGCTATATCTGACGACGAGACGCTGCCCGGGTCGGAGGCCGGCGCCTCCATCACTCCTGCTCCACGTCGTGCGGGAGCCACGCCATCCCGCTCAGCACCCGCAGCCTGGGGGCTACGGCGACAGCAGCTCCGCGCCACACGCCAGGCCTCCAGAGCCAGCGCCACCAAGACGCCGGGGGTCGCCGCCAGGAGAGCGCCGAGGGGGTCCGCCTCGCTCTCCACCGGGGCCGGCTCCGCGGCCGCGCAGACGGTGGGAGCCGCCTCACACGGCGGCGCCTCTGGGCACGGAGGGCAGACGTCCGCGCCCTCTGGCGACAGCCACGCGGGCGGGCACACGGCCTCCAGCGCGCAGGGAAGCAAACCAGGCGATGGCGGCGCTTCTGGCAGGAAGTGCGCGGAGAGATGCAAGAGCCCCAGCGCGAGGACAGCCCAGTGTCCCGCTGGGACCTGGGCCATCTCGAACCGAAGAAAGGCTATGGAGTCCAGGGGTCCCCCGTTTAAACAAGTTCGTTCTTTGACCTGCGCCATCAAGTCATTACACTCACAACCTTCCCGTGCACGCGCTGACAGATTGCATCACGTACCTGGTATCACATAGCTCACACCACATAGATTGCACCACATAGCTTGCAACACGAAAATTGCACCACCTAGCTTCCACCATATGGCTTGCACCACATAGATTGCGCCACCTTGCATTCTAGAACGCACTGTTGGGTATGAACGCTGGCTCGTATCTTTGTATGCATGTACATATACACATGCATACGGATGTACTGACACGGTGTGCCCCGTGGGATGCAACACACACACACACACACACACGCATACAGATATACACATAAAACTAAGCAGCTACAAGTAGTCTCCAAACCGTGCTTGCGCGTATCGCCTCGCGCTTCTGTTCAAACGGACTGGGCCTGCGCGTCGGTCTGGCCGCCACGTCGCCGCCGTCGCCGCCCCGTAGCCGCCTCGTCGCCGCCTCGTCGCCTGGGGCCTGCACGGCGGCCCGCCCGCCATGTCGCCGCCGGTCGGGGCTGAGTTCGCTCCAGGCCGAACTCGGTCGGGGCCAGTGGCGTTACCGCATCCATCAATCCTCCTCCTCCTCTTCCTCCTCCTCCTCCTCCTCCTCCTCCCCCTCCTCCTCCTCCTCCTCCTCCTCCTCCTCCTCCTCCTCTTGCTTCCGCGTCGCAGGATTCAGCCTTGAACGCCTTCGCCAGCGTCGCCGGTGCGCTGGCGCCGCATGGACCGGCCGTAGGTAGTCCCCGCTGCCCTCAGCGTGCCTCCCAGGTCCGCCCGGGGCGGCCGCAGTGCAGTCGCACCTGGGCCAGAAGAAGATCCTTCAAGAGCACGGGGCCCTCCGCCGGCCCAAACTGAAGAGCGCTCGAGGGCGCCCTCCCCCCCGATGCACAAGGACATCCGGCAGACTGTGTTCCGTTTTTCCGCCGGCGGCAGGGCAGAGGCAGTCCGCACCAGCGTGGGGCCAATCCGGGCAGCCGAGAGGCAAACTGCCCGGCGTGCAAGGGGAAGAGGCGAAGGCGAGGGCGGCCGCGCCAGGGGAGGAGGGGAAGGAGAACCTCCGACGCCAGGGCACCCTCCCCGAGCCGACCTCGATCTGATGCTTCGGCCCGACGATGGGCCCAGCGAGCCCTCGGCAGGCCTGCGGGCGAGAGGCGGCCGCGGCACCCCCAGCCGCCAGAGGCGGCGCGGCGGCGGCGCCCAGTCCGCCCGGGGGCTCCCCCGTGGGGGGGGGGCCTGCCGTGGGCCGCGGGGGCGGATCTCTCGGTGGCTGTCCGCGCAGAGGCCCCGCAACTGGAGGGGCCCAGGGGCACACACGAAGAAACGGGCGCAGACCACAGGATTCCGGGCATTCTTCGATCTGCTCTGGAGCCCCGTCTTCCCATCCCCCTCCTCCCATCTTCTCCACGATCTTCCAGGAGAAGCGATGCTTACTTGTGCCCGTGTCTTGCCTCCCCTCCTGCACAACTCCGACGCCGTGGCGTCTGTCACAGCACTGCGTGAAGCCCCGCCTGAAGTCTGGACACCTTCCCCCGGGACCGGCGTTTAATGCCAAGGCTGACCGTCCGCGGCGGTGTCGTCAGAGTACTCAGCCACGGTGACGAGGGCCTGGCCCTCCTCGCACAGATCGCCCGCCTGCCAAGCCAGCAGGCCAGGCAATTCCACAGCGCCAGCGGGGTAGCAGCTCGTAGAGCTCTTAAAATTGGTTCGACCAGAGCCAGCGCAATGTAGAGCTTCCCCACAAGCGAAGCGGCTAACCTACGCCAAGCCATCAGCGAAGCGGCTAAGCTCTGGAGTAATTCCACGGTGTCAGGGAGTGCGCACGGAGCCGCGAAGCGGCCCCCCGAAAGAAAAAGGGGGCCTCCAGCTCGTGGTGCCGGGCGCGGAGGGGCCCGACGAAGCAGCCTGCTGACGCTCAAAGGCTTGAGCCGAAATGCCACGCCAACGAGCGCTCCTGCAGGACACGTGCTGTGCAGAGGAGCGGCCCCGAGTCGGGGGAAGCACGTGGCAGCTAGATAAAAAGTGCGCTTCGGAGACACGCAACGAGGACGGTCTGGAACATTCCGAGCGCGCCTCCTCCTCCTCCTCCTCCTCCTCCTCCTCCTCCTCCTCCTCCTCCTCCTCCTCCTCCCCCTCTCCTCCTCCTCCTCCTCCTCCTCCTCCTCCTCCTTCTCCTCCTCCGGTTTATCCCTGTCCGAGCCCCGACCGAAAACGGAAAGGGGCTACAACCCTCCCAGACGGGCAATCTCCCCCCGCCCTCAAGCCGGCCACGAAAGCGCGGCATGTTTGCCCAGGCCGCTCAGACCCCCAGACCCCTCCTGAGACGGCTCAGATGATCGGACCCCCCGAGAAAATCGCCCTCCCCTCCCCCCCGTGCTCGGAAAGATGATGGTTGGGGACAGGGAGGGGTCTCGCATGTCGCACCGAGGCGTGGTGGGCCAGCACCGGTGGCGCGACGAGCGCTGCGCAAACGTTCTCGACGGCGGCTGTCCGTGAGCAGATCCCAGGCCTTGTCGCATGGGACCCGGCCTCTCGCTCACCCAGTCCACCGAAGCGTCCGAAACTTAGCTGCCCCGACACGCAACATGTAACACGTAGCGCATCGACACGGAGCTCAGCGCGTGGATTGAACACGTACGTTGGGTGCGGTACGCTCGCCAAAACGTGGGCCAACACGTGGAGCCGGCACGCGGCGTATTGACACGGGCGTTTCTAGACACGGCACGCGTTGCGTTTCGAAACGGAGGTATCGAGGCAGCTGAGGTTAGGTCGGGCATGTCCTCCTACAGGCTGATTTCGGGAAGAAGAATCCAAAATAGTCAAACAATCATCAGACATAGTCAAAAAGGAGCACGAACAATCGTCACCAGACTACTGTGTAACTATTCCTGCATACCCTGAGATCCGAGACGTTGCGAAAAATTGCCACATCGCGAAACATCGCGCCTGGAGCCCTGGACCCCCTCGTGCTTTGTGGACGCCACGATAATGAACACCCTAACAGTCCTATCATTGACTTTTAAATGTGTTTGAAATGTGTAAAACATGTTCTAAACATGTTTCAAACATGTCTTTACATATATTAAACATGTTTGAAACATTTTCTGACATCTGAGAATTATTTGACAATGGGCTTCCCCTCCATGAATCGACTTCCACAACTCTTGCTGCATCACATTTCGAGCCGGCTCGTTCTGTGAGGGGCCTGGAGCCCGAGCCTGGGCGAAGACGCCCGCTGCGAGAAAAAAGTTGCAGCGCCAGGACCTCAGGGCACTCCTCCTGTAAAGGGACCTGCCCGACTTGAAGCTAAGATTAGGTCGGGCATGTCCCCCTACAGGCGGATTTTGGGCGAAACAAATAAAAATCACCCCAAGCATGCTCAAGCATAGTCAACAAAATATCTAAAAGCAAGCATCGTTCCCATACTGTATTTTAAAACTATCTTTGACCATTCCTCCTGTAAGAGGGACCTGCCCGACTTTAAGCTGAGGTCCGAACCCAGACCCCCGACGTCATGATTTTTTCATGACGCGACCCCCAGAGGTCCAGACCCATTCCCCGGGACCGGTTTTTCATCCCGAGTCGTTTTTTGACGCTCCCGAGGCCCAGTGAGGGCCCTCCGAGGCCGAAAATGGCGAAAAACCTCCCGTCGTGATTTTTTCAGGACTCGAGGAGGTCTGGGAAGACAGCAGCCCCGCCGCGAGCTCGCTCTTTCCTTCGGCAGCTCGCCCTCGAGCACTCCTCCGCGGGTCTGCGCTGGCCTTCACTGGCTCGGCTGCAGGCCGACGAGGAGGAGGAGGAGGAGGAGGAGGAGGAGGAGGAGTAGCAGGAGGACGACGAGGAGGACGACGAGGAGGACGACGAGGAGGAGGAGGAGCAGGAGGAGGAGGACGAGGAGGAGGAGGAGGAGGAGCAGAAGGGACAGCGTGGGATGGAGGGGACAGGGAGGAGGACTCCGGACGGTGGTGGAGAGGCGCGACGCGGGCTGGCTACCTCGACCGCGCCCGAACACGGCTACGTTGCGCCCCTGCCTCGCCACCACCCTTCTTACTGTCCGCCGGTGCACTTCGTCCTCTTCGAGGGAGAAGCACTGCACAATCATAGACTTTCGGAGGTCCGCGCGGATTTCTTGGGTCGGAGCGCGCCAGGGGCGGCGCCGGAGGCGCCGCCCAAAGGGGGGGTCCAGCTCCGACCCACGAAAGCCGCGCGGACCTCCGGAAGTCTATGGTCATGGAATTTGATTTTCTTCGATTCCCCCCTCTGGTGCCTCCCCCGCCCACTGTCCACCTTTCCGGATCCTCTCGCTCCTCCTCCTCCTCCTCCTCCTCCTCCTCCTCCTCCTCCTCCTCCTCCTCCTCATCGGCAGCAGCAGCAACATCATAATCCGCCGACCCCTTGGGGTCACGGCGTGTGAGATGCTTCCCCCTCCCCAAACCCCTCCCCCGGGAGCCTGGTTCGGCCGGTTTGGAGGGGGCGGGGGGGGGCAAAGGTGTCATCAGGCCCCACGAGGCACCAGAGGGCTCCAAGCCCAAGATGCCCAGGATGGCCCCAAGACGGCCCCAGAAGCCTCCCAGACGGCCCAGGAAGCCTCCAAGAGCATCCCCAAGAGGGGCCCAAGAGGGGCCCAAGAGGCCAACCTCGTCGAATTCCTATGGGGAAGCGTACACTTTTATCATACACGACTTTTCGGCTTTCACGGCGTTGAAGACGGCCCCAGTCCCCCAAGACCGCCCCAAAACGGCCCAAGACGGCCCAAGAGTGCCCCAAGACGGCCCAAAGAGAAACCCAAGAGGGGGAGCCTGAGCCAACAATCCGAGCCTTCCGCCCCAAAGCGGCCCCAGGGGGGCCCAAGAGGCGCCCAACAGGGCTCATGAGGCCCCCAAGAAGCCCCCCATGAGGCCCCCCAAGAGGCCCCCCAAGAGGCCCCCCAAAAGCTAACAAAAAACTCCAAGTACCACTTGAGGCATGTAACTTCCAACCCGCAACCCAGGCACCAAGGATCTCAGGCCGTCAACCAAGGCACGGTGGCGGGATGGGCCGAAGGCCACTATATCCGCCGCCCCCTGTGGTCTTGCCACAGGGGTGCACGGCGTGCTGGATGTTTCAGGTTTTGGGTTTTGTTTCTTTTTCTAAAAGAACTCCCCAATGGGCTTCGGCCCGTCCCGCCGGCCACCCGCAAGTTTCCGAAAATCCATCTGTCAATGCCTTTGTTGCCCCAACTTGGCCCAAGATGGCCTCCAAGACGGCCAAGATGGCCCAAGATGGCCTCCAAGATGCTTCCAAGACGGCCAAGATGGCCTCCAAGACGGGTAAGATGGCTCCAAGATGCACCCAAGACGGCCCAAGATGGCCTCAAGATGGTCTAAGACGGCCCAAAAGGCCCGCAAAAGGCCTCCAAGACGGCCCAAGAGCCCTCCAAGACGCCCTCCAGGAAGGCCCGAATAGGTTAAAATCATTGATTTTCCTTAGGTTTTTGAAGGATTTTGGCATGTTCTTCTTTTCAGCTCTCCGACGGCCCAAGACGGCCCAAGAGGTCCCCAACATCGCCCCAACAGCACCCAAGAGGCCTCCAAGATGGCCCCATGACGGCCCAAGAGGCCCCCAAGAAGGCCCCAAGAGGGCCTCAAGACGGCCCAAGAGGCCTCCAAGACGCCCAAGATGGCCTCCAAGACGGCCAAGATGGCCCAAGATGGCCTCCACGATGCCTCCAAGACGGCCAAGATGGCCTCCAAGACGAGTAAGATGGCTCCAAGATGCACCCAAGATGGTCCAAGATGGCCTCAAGATGGCCTAAGACGGCCCAAAAGGCTCGCAAAAGGCCTCCAAGACGGCCCAAGAGCCCTCCAAGACGCCCTCCAGGAAGGCCCGAATAGGTTAAAATCATTGATTTTCCTTAGGTTTTTGAAGGATTTTGGCATGTTCTTCTTTTCAGCTCTCCGACGGCCCCAGACGGCCCATGAGGTCCCCAACATCGCCCCAACAGCACCCAAGAGGCCTCCAAGATGGCCCCATGACGGCCCAAGAGGCCCCCAAGAAGGCCCCAAGAGGGCCTCAAGACGGCCCAAGAGGCCTCCAAGACGCCCAAGATGGCCTCCAAGACGGCCAAGATGGCCCAAGATGGCCTCCAAGATGCCTCCAAGACGGCCAAAATGGCCTCCAAGACGGGTAAGATGGCTCCAAGATGCACCCAAGACGGCCCAAGATGGCCTCAAGATGGTCTACGACGGCCCAAAAGGCCCGCAAAAGGCCTCCAAGACGGCCCAAGAGCCCTCCAAGACGCCCTCCAGGAAGGCCCGAATAGGTTAAAATCATTGATTTTCCTTAGGTTTTTGAAGGATTTTGGCATGTTCTTCTTTTCAGCTCTCCGACGGCCCAAGACGGCCCAAGAGGTCCCCAACATCGCCCCAACAGCACCCAAGAGGCCTCCAAGATGGCCCCATGACGGCCCAAGAGGCCCCCAAGAAGGCCCCAAGAGGGCCTCAAGACGGCCCAAGAGGCCTCCAAGACGCCCAAGATGGCCTCCAAGACGGCCAAGATGGCCCAAGATGGCCTCCAAGATGCCTCCAAGACGGCCAAAATGGCCTCCAAGACGGGTAAGATGGCTCCAAGATGCACCCAAGACGGCCCAAGATGGCCTCAAGATGGTCTAAGACGGCCCAAAAGGCTCGCAAAAGGCCTCCAAGACGGCCCAAGAGCCCTCCAAGACGCCCTCCAGGAAGGCCCGAATAGGTTAAAATCATTGATTTTCCTTAGGTTTTTGAAGGATTTTGGCATGTTCTTCTTTTCAGCTCCAAAACGGCCCCAAAACGGCCCCAAAGACAGCCCCAAGACGGCCCAGCAGATCTCCCAAACGCCCACGCTGGCGTCCACTACGGCCACGATAAACCCAAGTGAGGCCACAGAGAGGCCCCCAACCCAGCCCAGACGGCG